GCAATGGTTGTACAACCAGGATCCTTGTACTTGGGAGGAATCCGCTACTCAATTAGAGTACTAACTTGATCTGTCAAGAACGTTGTCTTCTTCACATAGTGCTTCCTCTTAACTGTACACAAATCCTTGAAAACTTTTGCATAAGTAGGAACTTATTTAATCACATGCAAAAGAGAAAGATTGATTTTTACCTGCCTTAGATTCTCTAGGATTTCATTTTTAGGATCCATAGTTCACTTGCTTGATTTTAAAGCTTGAGGGAATGATACCTTAACAAGACTCTTTGTCACCTCAGGTTCCTTAGTTAGCTCAGCATCATTATTATCTTAATCATTTTTCACATCCTCTAATTTGTCCGTTGTTGGGATGCGTAATGAATCACCACTTCGTGTCACAATGGCATTTACATCCTTCAAATTCTCTTGCGTCATGTGTTAACCATGGGGTGCGGATTGAGCTTGAGAAGGGAATTTACCTCGCTCATTCACATTCAAGGAGCTCATCAATTTGGACACTTGGCTCATTATCTTTTTGTTTTCTCCAGCAACCTGCATAATCAAATATTCAAACTTTTGATTAGTCTTACCCTGTGTGTCAATAGAAGCATACAAAAGTGTCTTCTAAAGAACTCCTAGAAGATAAAGGTACATGATAAGGTACAGGATATGATCTAAAAGGTTGTGCAGACGGCTGTTTTTTAGACTTCTAGCTAAAATTAGAGTGATTGTGCCACCCCGAATTATAGGTATCATAGTAAAGTGTAAAAAGCTTCTTGTACACATATAAGACATTACATTATTTCTCATACATCCCTCTCATCTCAGCGAGTATGAGACATTCTTGGGGGAGGTGATCTACCCCTTCACAAACAAAACATGGTCCAAAAGACTCTGCATGATTAGCCACATGTGTTGACTTTAAGTTCTTAATCTTTAACATATCTAGCTCCCTAGTGAGCATCTCAACCTTAGCCTTTAGGCTATCCTCTTCCCTGAGATATTAAATTTCACCACCATTTGGGTTTTCTGCAAGTCGTGATTTATTTGTGCTTTTAGTAGCACTAGGTCTAGTCCAAGTGTGAGTTTTTTCAGCAAGCTCATTGAGGTATTCTATGGCCTCATCGGGATCTTTTTGTAAGAACTCGTTATTACACATCATCTCCACAAATTGACGTTCTCTAGGTGTAAGTCCCTCATAAAAATAGCTCACTAAGCGCAAATTCTCATACCTATGGTAAGGACACACACGCAACAACTCATTAAATCTCTCCTAAGACTGATACAAAATCTCACTGTCCTTTTGTACAAAGGTGGAGATTTGCCTTTCTAAAGCGTTGGTCTTATGCTGGGGGAAATATTTACTAAAGAAGATCTGAGTCATCTCACTCCATAATCCAATAGATCGTGGTGTCAGCGAGTATAGCCAACTCTTAGCTCTATCCTTCAAAGAGAAAGGAAAGAACTTACATCTCACAACATCATCAAGTGCAATTTGATTATGAAAAGTCACAACTATTTCCTCAAACTCCCTAATGTGCATATATGGATTTTCATTTTTCAAGCCATGAAAATTAGGCAGTAACTGTATCATCCCTGTTTTAAAATCCAATTAGCAAGTATTAGCTAGAAATATGATGCATAATGGTGTGGATGTACGTGTAGGGTGGAGATAATCATGAAGAGTTCTAATGAGTTGATCTTTGTGTTAACTCATTTTTTCGGGACTCAATGGATTGTCAAATAAAAGATTTAAAAAATTGGATTCTAACTCTATCACAGGTCTACTAGCAAATTTACCCAAGGTGTCCCTATATCTGTGCGTACAAGATAATGAAATACTAAAAGAATAAAAATACTATAAAAAGAATGAAGAAAAATAATAATAATAATAATGACAATGCAGCAAGCTAAAAAAAAGGAACGAAATTACCGTTTTTACAACTGTTGAAAAGAAAAACTATCTAGCAATTTTTCTACCGTCTCCCGGACAATGGCACCAAAATTTGATTACGTCCAAAGAAAAACGTGGTAGTTGTAGCATAGTTTTGGGGTGTCGATGTCACATAAAGACAAATTAAAAGAATAGTAGAAGGAACAAAGAAACTAAAAAAATATATTTAATAATTACTTGAGAACAAAAATTAATTTTAAATGCAAATTAAAGTGAAACAATGTGACTAACGGAAAAAAGTACTCAAATTTGACAAACAGTAAAACGTTGGAAATCTCTTGCACAAATTTGGTATTTTAATTATTCCTAATTCATTGAATAACTCAATTGAGAATTCAATTCCCAAAATTCCCAACCGGAAGGTATAGATTTATAAACCAAGATTAAACCTATATAAATTTATAAACCAAGATTAAACTCAATGTAACTCTTTGAAAAATCATTCACCATTTTGAAAATACATAAATTATTATTACTATTGAAAAAGTCCAACGACGACAATATACTCAAAAAATAATATTACAATAAATAATTAAATTAATATAGATAAATAATTGACCCAAACATAATCAAAGAACTAATTCATTCAATAGAAAAAATTTGACTAAATTCATAAACAGAATAAATTTTATGACTATTCGGAGAAGAAAATATCAACAATAAATTGATAATGATAAAACAAAAAAATTTTATTAATTAGAAATCAAATACATAAATTAAAATAAATAAAATACTATCTACTACACAAGTTCATCCCTTGCCTTACCCGAAAATTTAGTTACTTATAGACATAATGGACAACAAAAATCGCTTAAGAAAAATACAGCAAACCAGCGACATCTAAGCTTTTTTTCTCGATCTGTGTCACCCCCCAAAGAAAAAGAGCAGCCGCCCCGTGTGTTTTCTTTCAGCCGCCGCACCCAAGAAAAAAAAAAGCAAGGTTCTTCTCTGGTTTTTTTTAAGGAAAAGATATTTTTCTCCTCTCTTGATTCCAATATTTTTATTTCAATCCCTATAACCCAAATCTTGTGTAATTTATGAAAGATAAAACCTAATAAAAATTATGAATGTTGAGCCTAATAGACAGTTACATCAATTTCAGCCTTTTTATTTTATGGGCTACCATCAAAATAAAAATAAATATAAAATTCGAATAATAAAGTCCCAAAAATATTAAGTGTAAAGTCTAATTATAAATTATCTGTCACTAATCAATAATGCAATATTTAAAATTTAAAATATTATAAAATTATGCTCAAATATATCTCAGTGTGAATAGATATTAAATTCAATAATATAAATTATATCTAATTATTTTTATTCACATTTTAATATTTTAATCCAATAATATGGTATTTAGAATACACTTTCGCGCACTCATTGCTATCAATAACTACCTTATCTAATAATTGTCATGTTAAAATCCTAGAGTTCACCAATACAATTTATTGTTTAATTATTAATTGATAACACGAAATTACTTTAATGATATGGCGTTACCGTTTCACCTAATATTTACTCCCTATGTGGTGGTATTTATTATATTCTTATTGATACTTTATCTAAGGCAATAGATCTGTATAGAGATTAAGATCATCTTCATTATATTTGTATTTATTTTCATTATTAATTCAAGTAATACCCACTATTTATAAAGCTGCCCCTCACCCATGTATTATGGGGGATCCATCTGAAATTGAAAGAAAGTGTAATGCATAGGATTTAAATCTTTAAGTTGTCACTTGAAATCCCTTTTGATTGAAAGCTATACTAGAAGATTAATTGATTTTCTAGCTTTTTTCATCTTTTTGACATTGTCGATTATGGACAAAGATGGGTTATATTGGTCAATAGAGGAAGGTTTGCCTACGGCATGCCTTCTCACTAGTGTTTTTTTTTTGGGGGGGTTCAAATGAGGTTTGATCCAATATGTGTCCTACACAGGTGTTTCAGGCAAAAATGTGCTTTCTAGAAATTGGTGTGTGGCTGATTGTGTTGATGAAGAGGAAATATGTAGCAAAACTGCAAAATTATAGAGAAGATTCAATGAATGAGAAATTACAACTAATTCACATCTTCCATAGAAATTAGAATAATTGTACAACTAAATGTGTCTTAGTCCTGGTTTTTTTTTTTTTTTTCACAGGATGTCTAGGCTTACGTTGTTTACTTCCTCAACCTCTGAGCCGACCACCGTAACTCAAATTAGTTTAAAAACATGTTTTTCTAATGAACAATGGTGATTGACCTTTAAAAGTAAGATAAGATATCTGATTATTGGACCACCTCTAAGGATTTGTGTCTTAATCCTTATTGTTTAGGATGAAAAGTTGGATTTTCAAGAAAAAAAAATTGAATTTATTCTAAAAAAATTTGAATATCATGAATTTGTTCTCATATATTAAACATCACAACCATTTTGGTATATATACCCTTAATTGTCCCAAAAGACACAAGTTCTTAAAAAACTTTTGGTCAAATTTTAAATTTGAATCTACGGTCTACAGCGTACAGCCTACACAGTAGGCCCTGGTCATATGTAGTGGAGCAACACCACTGTTGTACTTAGATCTGAGACGTGCATGTCCTCCAGGCTCCAGCTGCTGTGGTGGTCCCCTTTCACCCCCCAACGACCACAAAATGAAGCACTCCGCCGCCCCCTCACACTTATCACCACCCTTTTCCCTCTGATTTCAACACCATCAACCAAAAAACCCACCGAGCCACCCCCCTCCCCTCTTCTCACACCAGCCCACAAAAGCCTAGCCAGTAGCCACTTTCTCTCTCTCTTACTTAGAGATATAAGAGAGAGAAAATGGTACCCAACTGACCAGGACTTGTGTAAGTGTGTCTGAGAGAGTTGTGTGTGTTTTTATGGAGGGCTAGACTAGAGAGAGAATGAAGTGAGGACGAGCCCAACTCGCTCTCTCCTTCCTGTTCTTTTCTGGTGTTTGAAGCTAGGGATTTAGGACATAGCATAGCAATAGCATCTGAAGTTTTCTGCTACTCCAAAAGCTGCATTAATCAGAAGAATCGTCCATCAACCACCAATGAGAATCCGAAAACGATGGTCTACTCTCAATCCTGCACCGTCGCCACCATATCTCTCTGAGTCCCTACCTTCTTTATGCCAACCCCAGGGACTGCAACTCCGCCACAAGGTGGCGGCGGCGCACCATCTTCTTCAGCCCACTCTTCTGGTTTGGGTTTCCTTAAAATACCATTTGGTGGCTAGACAATAATAATTTACCTAGTGTTTTCCCCAGGAACCAAACGAGATCCAAATCTCTCTCTCTCTCTCTCACTGCAATTTTTTTTTCTCTTTGCCTTATCAAATTTTGGTGCAATTGGTTACTGGGCATTTGGTTTCATTTGGTCGGTATTCTATGTAGGAGGACTCACCAAACGGCGCCGGAGAAAAAGACGGTGCTGCCAAGGACAATGGGTTGGCGGCAACCAATCTCAGGTAAAAAAATTAAAGCGGCGATTTCTTTTCTGGCCGTAGCAGACACATTGGTGCGTGCCTTTATTACTTTTTAGTACCAAAACAAAACCCTAGCCTGTTCTCACAGTAATTCCCAGTTTGTGTTCTGTGTGCAGAATCGGGTACAACATCACAAGTTCTGAAACACCGGCTGGTAGCTCCTTCTCCATCTCTTCGTCCTTATCTCATGAAGGTGCATATCTACCCACACCCAACAAAACCCATTACCATAATCATGTATATGCTCTCTCTCTCTCTCTCTCTCTATATATATATATATATATATGTGGGGTTGGTGTTGTCGCATTCTTGTAGTTCTTGTGATTATTGATTCAGATGAAATTGATGTTGAACATGGATACCTTTGTTTTGTATATAATATACTCTAAAAAAGGTATACGTCTTTTTCCTTATTTGAATGAGATGGGTATTGAATTATTGACAATTGATAGGACACTGGTGTGAAGAAGATAAACTTTTTCCATTGAAGAAGAGAAGAGTGATTTTAAAATGCAACACAACGACAATGCTGACAGAGAAGAAGTACATCCATGGTAGAGAAACTATAAGAAGTAACAAGAAATGGGTTGATGGTGTGGTTGTAAAAGAAAGCACTGAACAGAAGAGATTGGAAAATAGTGGAGGTAAGATAATGGAGGCTAATTCACTGTGTCATCGCACCGGCAGTAGAGGGTGGAGGTGTTGTCGACCAACTCTTATGGGTTACTCGTGGTGTGAATATCACTTGGAGCAAAGGAGGAAACGGGTTGAGCAACCACCCACTGCACCACCACCACCCAGTATCAAGCTCCGACCTCAAGAGTTCCATACCAGTTTGCATCTGAAAAACTGGTGTTTTGAAGATAAGTACAATGAAGATCATAAAAATGACAATGACAACGAAGATGACGATGATGATGATTATGAGGTTGACAAGGATGTTGGTAAAAAGAGAGAGAGGAGTGGAGGTAACACATTAATGGAGGTGGAGGGTTGGAGGAGGAGGTGCAGTCGTAGGAATGGAAAAGGATGGAGGTGTTGCGAACCAACGTTAGAAGGTTACTCTTCCTGTGAGCATCATTTGGTTAGGAGCAGGAAAATAAATATGAAGAGATCTCAGCAAAGAACTGCAACAACTACAATTAAACAACAAAAGGTGGATACTCATTTGTGCTTGGAAGACACTGATGATGAGGAAGATGATGATTGTGAGGATGGTGGAAATGGGTCTGTGGTTGGTGAAAGGAGAGAGAAGATTAGGATTGTGAAGGCTCGGTCTATGGGCAGCTTGCTTAGCCTTCCATCTCCACATCCTACACACGGCTAATGCCAAGGGGTGGCAGTACTCTAGACTAATGTTATTTCGACATAATCATCCATATCCATGGGATTAACAGTGAACCACACGATTTGTTGAAACTCATTATCTATATTAATTGTAATGAATTAAGTCATTACGTCTAATTATTTAAACTTAAAAATCTGACGTAATTTACTATGACTTTTAACTTGATTGTAAACTCCATTAAATTTTGAAATTTATTCTTCATCTAATAGTTCTAATAAAATCACAACATTAGCTTAATAAATGAGGTTAAATTTTTAAGTCTGAATAGCATTACTCTAATCGATATTATTATAACTTTCTTGTGGGGAATTCTCTATTTCTCAATTTTCTTAAGTTTTTAAAAAGAAGCCCACCTTTTAGGTTCTTTGTTAAATCTCCTATCTCAAACAATACTAGTTTAAAGAGAAATGTTATTATGATGTTTGGAAGTCTAATTTGGTTCTTATGGTCCCTTTGGTAGGAAAAATGAAAAATTGAAAAGATAAAAAGTTGAAAGGATGAAAAGTTAGAAGGAATATATTTTTTCTCATTATATTTGGTATAAAGGATGGAAAATTGAAGGAATGCATTTTCCTTTATTTTGTATTGGATTGATAAGAAAAATATAAATATCAAATTTATCATTATACCCTCACATCTAATTACATGAATAAGATTAAATAAAATAAACCAAAATGTTTGATTTTTTTTATAAGTATATAATATTTAGACTAATTTTAAGTTTAAAATATTATACTTAGACCAAAAATACTCTAATAAAAGATGAAATATTAAATATTTCAAATTTTACAACCAAAAATTTATGTTCTATTGTACATTTATTGAAATAAAATCAAAAATAAATTTACTTATAAAGAAATTCTTCATTTAATTATTTAATGTGTATCTAACTAGAAATTATATGTATTTTTTTCATTATGTACATTTAATTATTAAATCTTTCATTACATATACAAAAGCAAACTTAATAAGTTAATGGTAAATACTAAAAATTATATAATTAAAGATAATGGTGGGTAAAATAATCAATTCACAAAAAAAACTCATCTTTCCTCCATTTTCAATCCAGTTTTTGTCCATTTTGGGGGGAAAATGTATGGTGGGCTCGAGGAAAAACATTTCCCTTCCATTTTTCATTCCCTCCCATTTTCCCTTCATACTAAACAATGGAAAGATTTTTCTTCCCTCCCACTTTTCTTCCTCTATTTTTCATCCTCCCCATTTTCCCTCCAACCAAACAAGGGGTTAATGTTTTGCCGTTGCCACAATATTAGAAGAATTAATTCCCTATCAATTCAAGGGTTATAATACATAAGTTGAACATAAATATTGAATATATACATAAATAATATTATTGAAAATTAAATTTTATCCAAACTTACGAATGAAGATCCATTTTTAGAAAATAGTCCATGGTATCTTTAACATGTCCACAAAACAATGAGCAATATGACGATTAGTCTTCGAATACACAAGTAAACAATGGACTCGACCTGTTCCTTCCCACTAGGGGCACCCAAAAAAAAATGAAAAAACTTAAAAGCGTTACCAAACATTAGCTTAAACCTCTAAACCATACTACAATATTGCCTTTATTCTTGCCAATCATTTAAGATAACCAATATATTATATAGTTAATGTGAAGATACGCCATCATCAACTGTCGCTTTGGCCGAGTGGTTAAGGCGTGTGCCTGCTAAGTACATGGGGTTTCCCCGCGAGAGTTCGAATCTCTCAGGCGACGGTTCCTTTTTAGTGTTTTCAGTTTTGCTCATTTTTGGGATTGGGCCCAACCCAATCATAGAATCTAACGACTCAGATTCTCTCTAATATATATATATTTTTTAATTTCTTTTTTGGTGGATCATTCACTCTTACTAAGTGAATCACTCACTTCTATATGATAAGTCTCACTTAAATACATGATACATAATCCGCCATGATAAAAAAATTGAACAGAAAATATATTAGAGAGAATCTCAATCCAAAATTTAAGTTACGTCCGATATATTCCATTTTGCCCTTGTTGAAGCACATCTAATGTTCTATAAATTTTTCCTTAAAACAATTTATTATTTGATTAGTTTCTTCATGTATTAACGTTAAAAACAATATCAAGATGTGTCTAAATGATTCCAATAAGCCAAACAAATTTAGGAAGACTTTATTTTTTCCCAAAACAAATTGTAATGGACTAATGAAGTTCCTTATCTTCTTCTTCTTTTTTTTTTGATTGTCAGTCCATCCATGTCAGTAGAATATTTTTTGGTTCAATGGTCAGGAATGTTTGAGTCAACTTACACGCATCTTAACTAATCTCCTCTCCGGTCTGCTCAAAAACAGATTGTTCACGCCAAGACTAAAGTATTCATGAGAGATAAATTTCTCGTGACTTGATCCTAAAAGTTATGATGCTAGAATTGAAACCACCATGATGCCAGTTTTAGCAACTTTAAAGTCATGCTTGCCCTAAATTGACCACGCAATCCCAAACAAGCTCATGTTTTACTTAGATATTGCATTTATTCTGTTTGACAATCCAGAAGAGACCATATATATCACCTATTTCTAAGTGTTGATTTAGAGTGGATCAAAATGGGGATTCCTCTCATGAAGTAAAGTGGGTAGGAGAGAGAACAAAATAACTACTTCTCAGTGGCTTATTGCATTTCAAACCCCATTACTCTTTTTAATGAATGAAGTAATTATTGTTCAGCATAACCAATATTCACATGGAAAAAAAAAGCGTACCCAATACACGAAACTTCGGTCATTGCAGATTCTAAGAAGATTTATATTCACAGAATCTTACCCCAGCAAGTAGAGAGAACATTTTCACGATTCGAACCTGTGACCTACAGGTCACAATGGCTTTGTTTCAAGGTGCAAATCTCCAACTTATCAGAAATGCCTCCTTTCCCAACATTCAAACTCAGAAGAAGCAAAACTCTTCTTAACTACTCAAAACCAATGCAATTAGTAAGATGCTTGATGAAACCAGGGAATAAGGGGAAAGAGAGACACTAGAAATCCTTTTTCTCCTCTCCATGCACTGTTTTGTCCTTGAAGTATTCCACAATTTTGTTATTCAGGCCCTCCTTATGTGTTTTTCCTGTTCCCTTCCAACCTTGAGCTCTAGCTTACTCTCGGCTAGACTTGAAGTTTAGGGAGGTCTGAGAGTGTTTTTAGGTGCACTTATCCAAGAGGTACCAGCAATTGCGAATCTCCATAATGCATTGACATGCTCAGGTGAGGCATATTCGATGCCGACACGTGGACCAACAAGTATCTCAATTGGTTCTGGTCCATCTAAGAGTTCTAAACCACCTGAGGCATATACCAATTAGGTTGTGTCAAAATTGCACAAATTTCATTTAATTTCAAAAGAAGTGCACGATAAAATCCTTACCAGAAGTGAAAAGAGGATGATTAGACCATTCTGTCGAAATTCCTAATGCTTGACCAACCTATTAAAGACAGCAAAAGAAATCCAAGTTATTCAAGGAAGTAATGCAAAAGAAATTCAAGTAATTCAAGCAAGTAATGAGTAATGCATCCATACNGAAATTCCTAATGCTTGACCAACCTATTAAAGACAGCAAAAGAAATCCAAGTTATTCGAGGAAGTAATGCAAAAGAAATTCAAGTAATTCAAGCAAGTAATGAGTAATGCATCCATACCAATAATTACTTTGCAGAAGTACAATACCAAATTAGTTTGCCAGACGAAAAAAAAATGTCCGAAGGAAGAAGAAAAAGAGTGGGTTTGCAGATGGTTGTGAGTGGCTTTCCCATCATATCATTCTTACTGTGAAGTTAGATATTTGTATTTCAGCTTAACACTGTCATCAAGGCCAAGGAACAAAAGATAATGGTTTTGCCATTTCACCAGTCCAGAACCCATTTTTAGGCCTCATAAATGGTTTGTATAGAGATCAAGCATTAGCTTCCATTTTACCGCTAAAAAATTCTTAAGAGCAAAAACTGTACACATAGAAAGTGATCTCCCAGATATGTAGATAGAAACAGTAATAGGGAGGTTATAATTGTGGATCACCCATATAATGTGAAAACTCGCCCTGCGTTATCACTCTATTTTTTTCTGGCCCTCTTCCCAACAAGAATACAAGGTCCATGGATGGTTGCAGGAACAGAGAGCCGGAGTTATGCCTTGACGAAGTCTGTCCGGGAATGGCCAACCCCCAAGTCACTGACGGAGGTAGCACCACAGAAGATCTAAGGACCCCTTCCATACTATGGTTTTAGACTCAAACATGGTCTCGGATGCTATGCCGCTTCATTAAGGTTAGTAAGTTAAACGACTATTGTATGGGGATTCGATCACAGTCCCTGTGTAAACGCAATATTATTTGTGATGATAACCCTTCTAATCATCAAGTACTCTATCATGCTTGGGAACTTCATGATTGTCACATTTGCATATTCAGGAGACAATCTTGCACTATTGGGTGCTAAAAACCAGATAACTAGAAATGTCGTTGGATGGACTCAATACATGACCACTCGTGTTCTCTGTACTTCAATTTCATAGCTGTGACGTTTAACAAGATCATCATCAGCCATCTACATTTATTTCAATCTGGACATGTGTTGGCTATGTCTATCTTAGACCAACTAATGCATCGATAATGAGAAACAAGCTGAAGGTGCAAAAAGGAAAGCCAAAAGTGAGGTACATGAGAAAATCCATGAAACATGATCGGCTGGATAAATGTGAGGATACTTTGTTAACAAAAAGTCAACTAGAGAAGACAGATAGAAGTAGCTAAACCGAAATAGTTGGAAGTAAGGTTTGTTCAACTGTATATTTCAATTTTAACAGTTCCATTTTTGCTTTCTTGATAACCTTCTTATTCAATTTTATTTAACATTCTTCAACATTCGAATTTTAACATTCTTATCAATGAATATATTTAAATGAATCTACACAACAAAAGAAGGCAATATAATTATCAACTGATTGATGTACTTAAGGTGTGGCTATAGACTATAACTGTCTGCTAATCGGTAATCTACCCAGACATAAAATGGCCAACTTTGTTTGCATATAATGAAGAAAAAGATACATGCGGCATGAAAAAAATAAGCTATTACTTGTTTTTCAAAGTTGAAATAATCAGAACAATTTACAAGAAGCCCCCTGACACCTCAAAAAGGGTATCCCCATGTTGGCATACTAGATCGAAAAAATATTAGATATATGAATAAAATAATAAAGGTAAGATTCAACAAACCTTCCCGGGCCCCGTGAGAAGAACCGGTTTGTCAGTTATTTGACCCCGACGCTGCTGAATGGTTTCCAATCCTGTAATTGGCTTAAAATAAATCAGAACAATTATTTAAATGTGATAGCATGGCCCACTTGTGAAGATACTGCAGCAAATCCTGGACCTTGTCCTTGCACAAATTGACAATTATGAAGTAGACAATCAGTTGCATTCATAATTCTTTGTTTCATTCCTTTATTTTATTAGGTTCCCTTTTCCCTCGGAGGATAAAACTACTCCAAATTGCGTGTACATTGGTCAGAAAAAACCAAATCTTGAGGAATTTTTATGTCCAAAATTTTGTAAAATACCAAGTCTACAGCAATGTTTGCATATTTTGAAACTTTTAACTAGCAGCTTACCCAAATTTTATCCTCCGCATATTGTTTAGGTTCTCACAAGGCTCAGGTACTAGTTTGGGAGATGTTATTTTATGCATAAGGGATAAGGTCCCGATACACATGACCCCTACTCGTACGTGGACTCGTGGAGAGATAACATAAGAATTAGCAGGCTGACTTATAGATATACGGATACCAAGGTACAACTACAGCATTAACAAAGACGAACCAATTACCAATTTAATGAAATGGAAATAGCCAGCGAATGTGTGAAGAGGTCCACAGGGTAGATATACTTGATAGGGAGGTGTTATTTTACAGATCTGGGACAAACTCTCAACAGTTTACAAAATTACAATTGCTATAGCTAATGAGTAGTTCAACAGTAAACCTGTCCTGTGAGCTGCATTAAATAGTGGCAACCACGAAAACCTGTGGCACAGCTACCTTTAGAGAAGGCCACAAGGGGAAGGGGTGTGGGGTGGGAGGCATTGAGTATCTATATTGAACATAAGAGAAAAGACCATAAAAAACAATGAAGTTAGATGAAGAATATCCATGAAAATTACCACTGACAGGAGCACAGGAACGAATTAAGACGGCAGCTCCAACTCCTTCCTTGTCTGCCACAATATTGAGCATGGTATGAAGACCATAGCAAAGGTAAACATATGCATGCCCTCCAGGTCCAAACTATTACAGGATCAATAACAAATTGTATGAACACAGTCAATCGATATTGTTTAATATCTATTAAAAAATTCAAACTACACAAAATTTAAGGATGCAACTGAAAATATCAAAAATATCCCTGAAAATGGATTCCGCCAAATTGTGAGCAATTCATATTTTACCTTCCATTAATATTCACCTGTTCTGCAAACATTTAATTGTAATATTTTTAATGAGAAGTTGAGATGTAGAATCCACTAGAGCTCATAATGCCAAAATGCTGACCAAATTTACAACTACCATTTTGACAACAATTCCCTCAGATTAACATCCCACGATGCCAGATCTCTCTCTTGCGCACGCGGGCGCATACGCACATTCACGCCCAAAAGAAGGGGNTGCTGACCAAATTTACAACTACCATTTTGACAACAATTCCCTCAGATTAACATCCCATGATGCCAGATCTCTCTCTTGCGCACGCGGGCGCATACGCACATTCACGCCCAAAAGAAGGGATACATAGATATTGTCAGCCATCAAGCACCTACCTTAGCTGCTTTGATACCAGGAAAACTCAAGTTTGAAGGGCAATCGGCAGTTAATCATACATTTAGCTATTACATGTTTGCACCTTAAATGTGCTAATCCTATTTTCCTTCTCCCAATCACCACATTCTCCTCCCTGACCTCCCATCTTTCTCTTGCCCAAGGACACAACAGCAACAACCATTGGTTAACCACCTTAGGCATGAGGCTGGTACAATAGCTCAAGCCAAAAGCAATTTCTTCAGAAGTGTAATTCATGACCAGTTATTCGGAGGCCAAGCCATTACATGACTTTCAATTGCATACAGTTCTGTTTTTTTTATTGGGCGCAACTCAAATGTCCTAATGATACTGGAGATGTCAAGATCCAACTGGAAAAGTACAAAAAGGGAAAATCTAGATATACGAACGGATNATACTGGAGATGTCAAGATCCAACTGGAAAAGTACAAAAAGGGAAAATCTAGATATAGGAACAGAATAGAGTGAAAAAGCTGTAAGGTTGATGCAATTTTTTTTTCCTTTTCCCTAATGGGGTACTACCAAGATTCTGATATGACTTCTGATACGGATATGCTAAATCTGGACACAAGATTTGAGTTAGTAAGGATTTCCAAGAATTTGTGCTCAAAGATATCTCAAAAATCAATAAAACACAAAGGGTTTTGATTCTATAATTGAATTAAAGAATTCTGGAATAATTTATTCTCTTATCCGATCCCCAAAAAATGATGTGGTGAAATGAAATTGTCCCCCCACTCTTGGTAACTGGCATACTATCCTAGTTTTGTATGGGAATTGCCTTGTGGATATGATTGAGCTCGTTGAAGTGATATGCACGATATCTGTATTAATTTCCTTTGTGCATCACACCCATGCCTAGCCTTAAAATTGGGACAATCCATTCTTCCTTTTTTAGCTACCTCGCAATTTATTCCAAGGGACTACCGTTTCCATCATAAAAGAAAAACAAAATGTGGTATGAACTAAAACACACACACACACACATATATAAAGAACTTAAAACCAATATGCAGTTTTTTGTTTTTTTTTTTTGCATAGGGAAATCAGAAAGAGCCACAATTTAAAGGCCTCAAATGCCATTTTACTTCTTCAGTTCCTGAAATATAATGCTAGTGCTAAACATGAGCTTGGAAATCCTAGCAACCAAAATTAAATAATTATGGAAAAAATTTGCAAGTTGGAAAATAACAATCCAAGAGTAGTAAGAAAGTAGGTGCACTCTCCTTTGGTAATGTGTACGCAATGGAGGCTTGGGAACCGGTGGCTCCCAAAGTCTAAAAAATGGCATTTTCAATCATTGAATTTTGTCATGTTAATGGAGTTATTACATTGACCATCTACTGTGGTATTTTCTATCTGCCCCCCCCCCCCTCTTTGGGGGGAGGCCGAAACCCCATTTGACATGTGTTATGTGTCTGTGAGAGAGAATAGGATTTTTCCCTAAAATATCGATAAAACACATGTATTTCTTCATGTAAATTAAAAATCACCCTTGTCAACAAAATGATCATAGTAATATCTTACAACTGGGGCTGTTCTTGCTGTAATGCCGAAGCGACCGTGACAAGCTGAATCATTTGGCCTATATGCTTCTACCTACACACACAACAGCACATACATTCACCCAATCAATTAATCATTTTTCCTTGGTATATATTTTTACACAAGGTTTAAGGAGCAGAAACATAAAGTCCTACCTCTGTAATCTGAAGAACAACCTCATCTCTCCTTATGTACTTGCCGAGTAGACGCCGGGCAAGATCAAGAGCATCAATTTGGTAGAAATCGGGAGTCAAAATCGACCATTTCTCCAACAATAATGACTGTGAAATAGTCGGGATTAAATGGGATTGAGATTGAGATTTGGGTTTAGGTTTGGGTCTGGGTCTGGGTTTTGGTTTCACCTTAATGATTGAGGAGTTGGAGGCATCTGGGGTGGTTTGGATGGTTTTGGTGGGTTTTCTGAGCCGTTTCAACTGTTGGGTTGTCTTCATTTGGTTGAGCAATGACGGAAAAGGGAGAGAAATCGCAGTAATAAGGGAGAAGGCTTTTGATCTGAAGCATGAAGGTGATGCATAGGTTGTTGACTTGATGGCGAGTTTTGGCGGGTGTTATGTTTATTTTATGGATAAAACTGTGCTCGCCAAATTTGTTTATCGTATCTTATATCCTATACGTTGAATATTTTATGGACATAATGAATCCTAGTGATTTAACCACTTGCGTTAAGGTCAACATAGCAATGCTCGAATATCATAACGATATTAGANTATTTTATGGACATAATGAATCCCAGTGATTTAACCACTTGCGTTAAGGTCAACATAGCAATGCTCGAATATCATAACGATATTAGAGCCATCATATAATCAATCCAGAATAAAATCTTAAATAGAGAAAGCAAACTTTCCCTTAAATAGTTATTTATTATATAATAAAAGAATAATGTTACATAAATTTAAAAAATAGACTTAAAAATTAAATTTAATAATCTCAACTATTGATTCTATTATAAGTCTCAGTATTTTTTGAAACTCACTACTTATTCAATAGTTGAAATTATCAAGTGTAATTTTTAAATCCATGTAGTATTCCTCTTACTCATAATAAAATAACTAAGTGTTTGAAATTTTGTTCCAAACATATTTTTTCCTCCAAAATCATTACATTNCCTCTTACTCATAATAAAATAACTAAGTGTTTGAAATTTTGTTCCAAACATATTTTTTCCTCCAAAATCATTACATTACATATTTCTATCACGTGTTTAATTATACATATGTTGATAATATTTATCGAATTAAGTATTTTTGTCGATATTTTTAAAAAAATAATGACTAAAAATAAGTTTTAAATGATGTAATCAAATAAATGAAGGAAACAAATTATTATTTAATAAAGTGAGATCAATTTTTTGAACGTTCGAATTTTATATTTTATCGTACCTTCAGACACGGGTTATAATGAGTTTACTTACATAGAAGATGAGTTGGTAATGATCTGCTTATATAGACTAGTAGTTATTGACTTTTGTGTGATTCACTTTCTTATTTGTCTATATATAATTAATTGGTCATACTATACTGACGTAGTATCACTCTTCCAATGAATTTTTCTTTTTATGTCAGCATTGATGACATAATACCACTAATTAATAAAACAATATTAAATAGGCAAAAGGAACTCAACTTTAGTAGTTATAAACTTACTTGGAAAAAGAGTGAGAAGTTATCTTTTTATATGGATTGATAATTATTGGCTTGTGTGAGATTAATTTTTTTATATGTCTACGTATTATTAACTGATGATATCACATGATAATATTGGCGTAGTAGTATCACCGTAATAATGAATATTTTTTCTTCACAATGCTAGCACTAACAAATTCTATATCCATACTATGGGTTACTAAATTTGATTAATTTGTAGTTCAATACAATTTTTATTTTAAGTATTGTTCATATATGATAATATGAATATATTGAAATTTTTTTAAAGTCATGTATTTTTAAAATTTTTTTAAAAATTATTGGACAAAAATTAATTTCAAATTATGTAATTAAAGAAATGGAAAGAAACAAAATTATTATTTGATATAATGAGATTAATTTTTTGAACATTCGAATTTTATATTACATCATGCCTTCAAATACATATTATGGCTAGTACACAATATTTCATAATTACCTAATATTTGAATAATAAAATATCTTACCAACAATTAACCAATTATTTTTTGTAGCAAACCTAATGACAGATATACTTATAATAAATATTAGTTGAAAGTTAAGTTGGGGAATGCATAATTAAAATGAGGTGGAAATAGGGTGGAAAGGTTAATAAAAACTTTAAATGTAAAGAGGTTTTGGAAGGAAAAGACATAGAGAGAATTAAACATATCAATTGAAGCGGATTCGTGTTGAAGAGTACTCTATCTATATTTGATTCATTTATTAAATTGTATCTAAAGTGTTATATATGAATCATATATAATTAATATATAAACGAGTCGTGTCGTATAATTTTTTTAATTAACTTTACTCATATCTGATTCGTTATGTTGGGTCCATTCATTTATAAAATGGGTAATTTAAAGAAATCTCAAATTCTCTAATTTTGTGTCGTGTCATATTTTAACACTCCCTAGAAAATAAAAAAAAATAAAAGAAATGAACTACGAGATTTTTTTAAATAAATTTTGAATTGAATCTTATGTCTATTTATTGGAATATTATGTATCAAATTATTTTATTAAACATAAATTTGGAAAAAAAAAACTCACTGGGCCTCAAATTCAGTCTTCTAGATCCTTCTAAACCTCTTAATTTCCCAAATTATTTATTCCCAAATGTGTTAGGGCTTCGAAGCTCTGGACCCTTCCTACTCCTAACTAGTTTAGAACCCTCCAGACCTCCCTCTTCTCTTTCTTAAAACTTGGACCATTCAATCCCTTGCCTCCTTCACTTTCCCATCTCTCTCTCTCTCTCTCTTTCTCTATAGAACTTCATCCGTCCACAATACCCCCCCCCCTCTCTCTCTCTCTCTCTCTCTCTCTCTCTCTCTCTCTATCTCTCTCTCTCTCTCTGTGGATCCAAATGGCGAAGTACGGCGAAGGCGACAAGCGCTGGATCGTAGAGGAGAGAACCGACGGGACCAACGTCCACAACTGGCACTGGGCCGAGACCGATTGCCTCGAATGGTCACGCAACCTACTCACAAAGCTCCTCTCCGACCAAATCATCCTCAACGGCGAAGGCGATCTCTTCATCAAAATCAAGAAGGTCGAGAAAGTCGACGGCGAAGCCTATGTCAACATCAGAAAAGGAAAGATCATACCCGGGTACGAAATTAGCGTTTCAATTTCCTGGGAAGGTGAAGCCACAGATGTTGAAGGTAAATCACTGCTCAAAGCCGATGGAAACGTTGAAATTCCATATATCGCGGATGAGAATGCCGATGAAGATCCGGAAATCAGAGTAACGGTTAAGGATGAAGGACCAATTGGGAAGAGATTGAAGGAAGCTTTTTTGGCTAAGGGAAAACCCTTTGTTTTGGATCAAATTAGAGTTTATGTAAGTGCAATGGCGAAAGGAGGGCCTGCTAAAGAAGATTTGGAGGTGAAGAAACCCAATTCGACCCCGAAAAAAGTGTTGCCGGTGGCCGGGACAGCAGCACCGGCTCCGGCAGTGGTGGAGGAGAAGAAGGAGAAGAGGAAGGAGGGGTTCAAGACTATAACGATGACAGAGAAGTTTAGTTGTAGAGCAAAGGATATGTTTGAGATACTGATGGATGAGAATAGGTGGAAGGGGTTCACGCAGAGTAATGCGAGGATAAGTAAGGAGGTTGGTGGGGAGTTTAGTATATTTGATGGATCGGTGACAGGGACCAATGTGGAGTTGCAGGAAGGGAAGTTGATTGTGCAGAAGTGGAGGTTTGGCAGCTGGCCTGATGGCATTCACTCTATGGTAAAAATATTGACTTTTTTTTTTCCATTTTTTTGTGTAAATTTTCTATCTCTATCGTTACTTCTTGTGAATTCTAATGGTTTGGCTGCTAAAAAATGGTGGACAGTGTTAAATGGGTAAAATCTTGTTTGCTTTTATACTCTGACGGTATGTGCACATATTAATTTTCAGCCACAAACACCCAGGAATCCACTTATGCATGTTATGTAGCTGTGGTTCATAAGTATATGGAGTTGTGAAGTAAGTTATTAGAATGTATATATTACCTCAATTATATAGTTGTATGTGTGTACATGTCTGTTTGTTCACCCATCCAGTCATTGTTGAACTGGTGTGTACGTGCTTATAAATTTACACGTTAAAGTATGTTTTTTTTTTTTAAATCCGTTTATGAGTTCTGTTTGCTTGGTTAATTAAATTGGAGACTTGAGAAATTAGGGGATTATAATATCATGATTTCATTGTGTGCATTTGAATATACACAGAAATTCAATCTTGAAGATATCGTGTAGATAAAGTCTTGGAGTATGGCCATGGAATCATGGTCCTGATTGTTTTGGTGCAGACGAATTTGTGGACTCTGTCTAATTGCTTGCTGAAAGCTAATATAATAGCAGTTTGTTCTGCTAAGGTTCTGTCTAAAGGAGTTTTCTAGTTTTCCCCTTGTTTTGTTGTGAACCTTGAAGTTCATATCAATAAAGGTTTAGTGTATTTGCCAAAATATATATTTGCCCCACAATGCACAGAGGCACGCTTCCTTGGAACCATATTTCTGTAGCATCATTTGTTGGTGAAGTGACGATGTTTGTGTGTGTGTATGTATGTATGTGTACAAAATGCTCCAAGTTATCAGATAGTCATGAAATGTAGTTAGTCCTAAATTCACTTCTTTCATAAGAATAGTGATGCCTTCCGGAATGCGCTTTTATTCTAGATTGTTACAGGACTGACTTTTTGGTTGCCCAAAAAAAAAAAAAAAGGAGAACTTGCTTTTCGGTTATTGCAAGTCTGCAGTAATGATGTTTTTGTGTGTGTATGTATGTGAACCTACTTAGCCAGGAAAAATGTATGTGAATCTGTTGCTTTAAGTGACCAGATATCCACCAGATGTAGTTAATCATGGATTTTATTCTTGCGTAATTCACTGACTGCAGATGCCTTCTGGAATGCGCTTGTATTCTAGATTGGCGATGACAGATGGTTATAGAACTGGCGTTTATGCCTACACATACATGCTAAAAGTCCGCATGGATGTCTAATGAGTTACATTGGTAGTTGAACATAAGCACATTTGTTCTTGATGATTTGTTATTTTATTAATAGTACGTCTGTGTTTATTTTATCAGTGCATCATAAAATGGATGTGTTTCTATATATTTTTTTATTTCTTCAGTGTTATTAGCTATCTCTTAAAGTAATAACAGTACAGTTGTTACACTTGCACACATCATGGGTCGATAAACATTTGGTGGGCATTGTTAATTTGCTAATAAAGCTTGAATCACTACTGCTATAGGTGCGGCTAACACTTGATGAGCCTGAACCTGGGGTCACCAGTATTAAGCTGACACATACTGATGTTCCAGAGGAGGACAGGTTGGTTTTAGTTCATTTATTTTTTTTTTTTTTTTTTTTGTGTAATTACTTAAAACGACATTTTTAACATTTGTACTTTCATGATGCAGATATGGGAATGCAACAGTGGTGGACAATACTGAGAGGGGATGGCGGGATCTTATTTTCAACAAGATACGGGCAGTTTTTGGCTTTGGCATATGATTTTTTATCCCTTTTAACTCGCAGAAGTGTAGAATTTTCTTGGATTGGATGTGACAATTGAGTTACATGGCCAATTGTTGTTAAAATGTCAAGTGTGTTGCCATGTTGGTGTCATTGGCCTGCTAGTCCATTTTGGCTTATTGTCATCTTTGGCTGTTGAACTTAAGAAACTTGCTGGGAACAATATTTATCATTAACTTTGGAGACTGTCATATAATGATCTGTCTACTTAATACGCGTGCTCAATTTTTTGTTTTTGCATTCATAAATCATCATCATCATCATCATCAACGCGTGCTTTTTTGCCTTCATCATCATCATCATAGTATGCTAACAACTGTCTTATCTTCTCTTGTAGTTTCTATTTTTTTTTGACTCTGAAGGATTCGGTTTCAGTTAGTTAATGTTACATGGAAGAATATTAGAGGAGGTGGTTGATGAGAGGGAATATTTCTAATAGGTATGGAATGTATTCTCTGTATTGGCATCCAAATCTGAGTCAAATGAAAGGTTTTAAGTAGTCTTTGACTCGTTTTTAAAGTTCAGTCCTGGGAAAATGAAGGAAATCATGCTTATGATAATGTTAAGAATGTAAGATGTGATATTGATCTGCAAATTACGATGGATTCTTGTGGGAGAAGACATATTGTAAGTAGCAGTTTAAGTTTTTGTCTGAGATTAGGATGCTCAATTGAAATCTTGACAATGATATTCAAAGTTTGATGAAAAATAGTTTGTTCTTTGGGGTGATCAATTGTTTGTCATACTAGAAGGTGTTTGGACTAGTATGGTTGATTTGAGCACTTGAACGTCTTTTGGTAGAAGATAGAGATGATATGATACTGGGTTTGTGTTTTGAGACAGTGTCAAGTTCGAGTCGTGTCGTAAATTTTAGCTCTTATGCATTTTAATTTACTTAATTATGTTTTACATTTGGATTAAATTTTTTCTATTCTCAATTAAGTGAACTCTACCAATATTTAGGTAGTTGAGTCCTTTAAATTGTGTTTAAGAAAACATTCAACAACTTTGTTCTCCCTCCCTCCCTATATTCCCCCTCCCCCTCTCGCTTTCTCTCACTGTTGTTGTTTTATTTTTATAATATGAAAATTAACAAGGAATAATTGCAAATGTAAGATTTCTCTACATATATCTTGCCGTCGTGAATATTTTAAGTTACAGAAACATCCTCTCACATGTGAGATAATAACCTTGCGGAAATCTAATTCTTTTCAAACTTCATAGTAATGGGAATTTATATTCTGAATCGCTCATTATTAGTTCAAAAATTTTAATATACTATTGTTAAAAGTAAAAGATTATTGGGATATAATTTGTAGAGCTTAGTTGGGAATCTAATAATTATTGTCATCGGGGAATTAACTGCCACGGGAGGTGGGGATTCTTTAACATTGAATGCAATCTATTTTGTTAAACCAACCATAATATGTATGGTAGTGTTTAGTAACACGATGTTTGTGTTTTTTTTTTTTTTTTTGTAAAATAAAAATAATAATAATAACGCTTTTGGAAAATATTGCTTCTTTTTTTTTTTTTACTGTCTCGTTTTTAAAACATGGTCAAAATATGAAAATATATAAAAAATAAAAAAACGCACGCGGTGGTGACCCCCCTTTAACGAGGTCTTAACTTCGAATCTTATTAACGCCAAAATTTAACACTTTTGTTGGAATATAAAATGGTCTTTCATCTACCTACTACTCTCACCCAACTTCTCTCTCTCTCTCTACGAAGAATCGAAGAGCTGTCTCTCATATACCTCTCGTCTTCTCTGCGTAAATTCACCTTCTCTCTCTCATCTTCTTTGGTGGTGGTTGAATGGCTGATGGTGGTGGGATTTGCTTGGTTTTGGTGTTGGGTTTCGGTGGTGGTGGAATTTGCTTGGTTTTGGTGTTGGGTTTTAATGGTGGTGGTGGGTTTCGGGGTTGCAGGAGGTTGTGGCCTTGTGGTGGTGGGGTTGGGTGGTGTATTTTGGGGTTCTTATAAATACGAATAGGCGCTGCCTGTGGCACAACGAGAAGCCCAAAAGCAACAGTCAACTTCTCACTGTGATAGGCAAGTCCGAGTTCCTTGCCCTCTTCATTGCCCTCTTCATTCATATCATGGAGTGCAAAATTCATGTCTGGAACATACCCAGCTTCCTTGATCAATACCAGAACTTTGTCAACCTTTGAGTAAACCTCATTAGTCCTTAGATGGCTTCTATCTTCCGAGGGGATTGTGGGTTTCGGGGTTACAGGGGGTGGGTTTCGGTGGTGGTGGTGGTGGGAGTTTGACGGTGGTAGGGGGTTGGGTGTTTGGTGGTTGGCAGTGGCGTTAGGTGGTAAATTTTTGATATAATACCAAATATATTTTTTATTTTTATTTTTTATAATTTTTTAAATATAGATGATTATTAAATATGTTTTATATTTTTAACTTTTAAAAAAACAAAATAAAAATTAGTTTTCTTTTTTTTTTCTATACAAAAAACGTAAAAACAAAAACATTACCAAACGTATCCTATGCAATATAATACGTCTTTGAATTAAGTACAATGTATTATTATTGTTGTTAAAATTTTTGACTTCGCCCCGGTAATAATTGTAACGTGATGTTAGAGTTGCATTCAATATTTTCTTACAAAAGGACCGCTAAAAGAGCTTTTTGATCACGTGAAATAAGAACCGTCCGATGAGACTAAAAAACACACAAGTTTTCTACTACTCTGTAGGACGTGCAACATTAAGGCAAGCACGTAGACAATGGAGTTAGTTTTAGCGGTTAGAACATACATAGCGACTTTCCCGCGAAACAGAGACAATTTATGCCTTCACCAACCAGAAGAGATAGAGGGAGGAGAGAGAAACCAATAGGCATAGGTCTTCTTGTTCTTCCTCTCTTTCTCTCATCTTTCTCTTTCTCTTTCTCTAGATTCACTTTCAAATATTTTTCCATTTTCGATCGGTTAGGTTGCTGATTTTCGGTATGTAACATTCCTTTAAGACCTAATTCTGTATTTAATCGCTAATTTCTCCTTCATTTCTTGTGTTTGGGTGCTTTTTTAAAATAAATTTCCTTCATTTCACTTGGGATTTTTTCAATTCTTTAAAATTTTGAAGATGCTTTGTTGAATTTATTCGTTCCTATGATTCGATCATTTCCGGTAAAATATAGCGTGTTTGAACTCTGATCGCTTTTACACGAGAAAGGGGGACCATAGACTTTTCTTTAATCGGCTCTTTATGATTTTGAATGCAATAAAACATGTTGAATTGTTGTTGGCATTGCAGGAATTTGTTACTTTTTTCGAGCATTGGATGTGCATGATTCATTGAATACAGCTTCTGTGATTTACTGTACCAGCTACGACCGGAACGATGTTCTGCTGCGGAGGAGCAGAAGAGGAGAACGACGGTGGTCCGCTGGCAAACCAAAATACAGCTCCACCTAGAGGGCAAAATCCATATGGTGCTGGTAAATTAACCTCTTTCCTTGTTCTTTTTCGACATGTTATTGCATTCACATGCCTTTAGCATAGTTTTGTTCCAACAAATTCATAGAATATTTGATCATTTTTCTAGTAAAATTCCCCCCCATTGTGTTTGGGCATACGAATTGAGATAGTGAATATCAAGAGCCACATCTCGAGTAGGAGGATGACATTTTGCATCTCTAGGACCAAGTATGAGTGGTGTCGCATCGGATTAATGTTGTTAAAAACGATAAGAGACAAAAGGTACCAATATCAATATTGAGGTCTAAGTGAATTTAGTACAATCGTCCATGTTCAAAATCATTACATAACCAAAGTAAGAAGTAGTTCCTCAAGAGAAGGTGCTCGACTTCTGAACTTCTAAGCGCACATCCTTTCGAGACATATATCTCGATTAATTTTCTCTTCAATCTGGTCAAAGGCAAGTCATCCATTTTGGGACTAGAGTATTCATGAAGGATATCACTCATGGGGTTTGACTTTAAGAGGTTAACAAGATTCGAACTTAAAATGCTTGAATTTATAACTTGTCTCTGTTATCACTTGAACTACCCATTGAAATTATTTCCGATTACATTATGATAGCACCTTGAATATGCCTAAAGTTGAGCTCGGTAACTCAAGTCATTCTCTCTTAGGTCTAGAGTTCAATAGCCTGTAGGCCTCAACTTCAAACCTTGAGCTCCCTACATTTGCATTTCAAAGAAGGCAACATAAAAGGCAGTTGACGTCCACCAAACATCCATTCGATAATAACAGTCGCTTATCCAGATATAAGAATCATAACAAACCTAGCGCTCTCCACAACCGTTGCGTAATAATAGCAACTGCTACAAGGAGGAGCAAAGATCATGCCAAGGATCAAGCGAAGCTCGGAGCCATCTATACATAAGGGGCATAACCCCCAGTAGTAAGNACTTCAAACCTTGAGCTCCCTACATTTGCATTTCAAAGAAGGCAACATAAAAGGCAGCTGACTTCCACCAAACATCCATTCGATAATAACAGTCGCTTATCTAGATATAAGAATCGTAACAAACCTAGCGCTCTCCACAACCGTTGCGTAATAATAGCAACTGCTACCAGGAGGAGCAAAGATCATGCCAAGGATCAAGCGAAGCTCGGAGCCATCTATACATAAGGGGCATAACCCCAGTAGTAACGACAAACAATTGTAGCCAAATTGAATACTTTGTGTAACTCTTCCTTTTTATCAATATATTCCTCAGGAGCAACAGACTCCCTTGAGAGTTGATCAGCCGAACCTTTGTGTGTTAATCTCATTCCATTTGGTCCAATTATCTAAGAGTCTAGAAGCTAAGACTGAATTACTCAATGCCCACTAAATCCATAATTCTGCTCTGTGGTGCTATAAGCATAATCACATTACATCCTTGTTGTAATTGCAACTTCTCTAAACCACTCACGTAGTGCAATATTCACAATGCTTGTACTTAAATTTTCACATTCTTCATTGTAGGCAGTCAAAGAGAGCCAAGGACTTCCGGTGCTACAAAAAGTGGAGCTCCCCAGAAAGTTCTACCGATCGAAATACCAGCGTTTTCGTTGGACGAGTTAAACCGGCTAACCGGCAACTTCGGTTCAAAAGCTTTGATTGGAGAAGGGTCTTATGGCCGTGTGTTCCATGCAAAGTTAAGCGATGGCCAGGAAGCAGCAATAAAGAAGCTGGACACAAGTTCTTCACCTGAACCAGATTCTGATTTTGAAGCTCAGGTGAATATTATATGCTTTATTTCTATTTTGGGTATTAATTATGATTTAGCTCCGTGTGGTTCGAGCGAGGTCTATTTGAAAAAGGTTATTTGAACTTAATGCATCACAACCATTTAATTCATAGCAGATCCCAATTAATGGCAAGATCCATTGGCAATCTGACGGTTGTGATACATTAAATTAGTAAATAATGTCAACAAATCAGGTCCGAATAGAATTGCTCTTTTTTTGGTTCAATTTTTCGATATAATTTGTCACCCATTATTGTGGATCATGCAGTTATCGATCGTTTCAAGACTAAAGAATGATCATTTTGTGGGACTGCTTGGTTATTGCTTGGAGGCAAATGAACCTATCCTAGTGTATCAGTATGCATCATTGGGTTCTTTACATGATGTTTTACATGGTAAGAGAAACAAAATTTTGGATCAGGTTATGGTTTGCTAATACTCAACATAAACCTGAAGTAAAACGACATGACACGACAACTGCCCTACCTTTCTTCTTTTGAAAACTGTTGATTCTTTGTTGTTTTGTGGTATAGGGAGGAAGGGTGTACAAGGGTCTGAACCTGGTCCAGTACTAAGTTGGAACCAGAGAGTTAAAATTGCTTATGGTGCAGCCAAAGGCCTTGACTTTCTACACGAGAAGGTTCAGCCTCCGATTGTTCATCGAGACGTCAGGTCCAGCAATGTCCTACTGTTTGATGATTTTCTAGCTAAAATTGCTGATTTCAGTATGACGAATCAGTCTTCTGACACAGCCGCTCGGCTTCATTCGACTAGGGTTTTGGGTACATTTGGGTACCATGCTCCGGAGTAAGTCATAGATTTCTATCTCCTGAACTTCAAGAACTAGAAAATTTCATGTGATCCAGCATTTCCAGTTCTGGCAAAGTTGCCCAAATATGAAGGATGTTTTTTTATTTTTTTGTGCGTCAGCATTGCAATTGTTTAATCAAGTCAGGTTACAAGTCAAAAACACCAAGTCATCTCAAACATCATCCCAAATTACAACTGAATGAAGTCGATTTAGAATCAATCACAAAATACTTTTTAATGATCCTGTTTTAGCCCTAACAATCTAGGACCACATACTTTGTCAACAATCTAGGACCAGTTGAGGAACACTTAGACCATTCCATACTAACTTTAGCTAGTTGGTTTCTGTTTAGGTATGCCATGACAGGGCAGATAACACAGAAAAGCGATGTTTACAGTTTCGGAGTTGTTCTGTTGGAGCTTTTGACAGGAAGGAAGCCAGTAGATCATACAATGCCTAAAGGGCAGCAGAGTCTTGTCACTTGGGTTTGTTTTTGTTACTTTCTTCCACTTTTCTCTTGCCTCCAAGGCTATAATTGTTTGTGAATAGTGAGTGATTCATGTTCTCAAATACTACCATACAGGCAACTCCAAGACTGAGCGAGGACAAAGTGAAGCAATGTGTGGATCCCAAGTTGAATAATGACTACCCACCAAAGGCAATTGCTAAGGTTGTTTTCATCATGCCTTTGCACAAGTATTATGGAGATATGCATTGTATTAGATAAGCATGATTTGCCATATGTTTTATCGATCTTCAGGTAACAAAATCTAGAAGATATAAATGATATATGTGACGTATAATTTTAACAAATAAATACTTATCATCATTCCAGGTCCGACCTCTACGNATATGTTTTATCGATCTTCAGGTAACAAAATCTAGAAGATATAAATGATATATGTGATGTATAATTTTAACAAATAAATACTTCTCATCATTCCAGGTCCGACCTCTACGCGTTGTGGTTCATGTTTTACATAAGAATTCAATAAATTGCTGGTGTAGTGAACTTGTATTTATGTCATTTGCTATACAAGTACAATGGCATTTACATTTTCTGAACATTTGAGTATACTTATCGTCCCACTATTTGCCCTTCTACAAGTAGGTTGGAAGACAGTTTTGAAGTTTCAATGGAGACTCGAACCTCATAATATGAAATTACTACTAGCAACGCTATTTGTGTTATTGAATTTTTTTTATTTGATTGCATAATTTTAATTTCAGGCAATGATAGCATATTAAATTTAATTTTAAACAATCTTAGATGATTTTCCTTCTTCCAAAAGCAGTCTTATTATACATTTATATGTTTTCTCATGCATTGTATCAGATGGCAGCGGTTGCAGCACTTTGTGTTCAATATGAAGCAGACTTCCGGCCAAATATGACCATCGTCGTGAAGGCTTTGCAGCCACTTCTTAACTCAAAACCGGCAGGACCTGACTCTAATACATAGTCGTAGTGTGTTTTAATACAAAACCAGCAAGATCAGTTTGATGTAATCTCTAAATCTTTGATTGTGATACTCAGAAGTTCTTGTGTGAAATGTTCTACTCTGAAACAGGGTATTGTTAGGAATATTGTTCAACTATGGAAAAAATTAGATGATGAAATTTACAAGAGGCTCAAGAGTGTGCCTAATCTAAACTAGGGAGAAGCTTTGCAATTCTTTTCAATTTTTAGTTGTGATTTTCTAGTGAGAATTCTTCACTGGTGCTACAAAAATCCTAATATTTCAGGTCGTAGCCATGGTACAAGCATCTTTTTCCAATCCAATTTTCCAATAGATTCAAAAGTTGGAATCTGAATCTATCTATAACAAAGCATCCAACAGCTACACAACACTTTGAAATCAGAAAACAAGCTAGAGAATTAAAATTTTCTGAATCCGTCTGGTTCTCTTTAATACCCATCTTGACTTTGGGGAAGAGAAGAAAGAAAACATGGAAAAGATAGACACCTATTCCTGTTGAATTAACAACAACATAAAATAAACAAACATGAACACAAATTCACAATACAAGAAATCCTAGGGGCTGCCCGCCCCAGAACCATAACAAATGTAACGAAAAGAAAAAATCATTCAGCAAGATGATGCTTGACCAACCAGTGCTCAATAAGGCATTAGTCCCCAAAAAGACTTGGAAGTCCACCCATCTATAAGTAACATTTACAGGCATTGAATCCAATACTAACAAACAGCCATATAAAAAACAGTCAAAGCCACAAAATCGGTTTCATACTTACAATTTAAGTCCATGTGTTTTCAGATTTTTATATATTTAAGCAGTCGCTTGGTGGGTCATGCTCCATCTCATATCCTACATTAGCATCTGTATGACTGCTGTTTTATTTCACTTGACATCATGAATGCTATAACGATCGATCCCTTACACTACATGCTTAAACAAACATGATGTTATCTTTGTTAATATCCTTCAACCACCCCAACCCAGGATTGTTGGGGGACAATGGACCCCTCTAGGCCCCATGTTGATCTGCCCCAGTAGTCTTTACATCAGGGACAGAGCCACATATGGCTTACAAGACATCCCCTCCCATATTTGTTGAAATGTGAAGCTTTTGAGGTAAGGGTATGTTTAAATCATCCTGATGACATAAGAACTCTATACGCCAACACAATCTTGATCCCCAATTTTGCTTCCCAACCAAATATAAACAACAAGAATAAAATCTCTTCACAATAGGAGGCACAAAACCTACCTATTTCACCAAACCCTGTTGTTGTAGTGCAGTAAGAAATTCAACACCAATGTCCTACACAAAGTCCACAAATACTGTGTGAAGAGCTTTCACCATGTACAGCTTCAAGCATTCATGTTCCTAGCAGTCAAAGAATTTGACAGGTAGCAACCCATGAAACCATCTAATATAGTTTGTAGGAAATTCCTTAAGAACACTTTTTGGTTGCACATCTATAGCTGTGAGCTTCATTTCATTTCAAATTTATGATAGTTTTAGATGAAGTTGATTCGATATTTCAAAGGATTTGAACTCTAACCTAATGCCTTTGACCAACTCATGTTGCCTAACATTTTTCTTTTAAATTGACATCGTACAACTTTTGTGTTGTGGAAGCTGTAGTAAGCAATCCCTTTGTGATTGCTCTACCTCTTTTGTGTAGAAAAGAACTCTATAGTCGGCAATTTCTTTATGATTTTAGTTGTTGTCCTTGGCTAACAGGTTAGAGAAATGANGTGATTGCTCTACCTCTTTTGTGTAGAAAAGAACTCTATAGTCGGCAATTTCTTTATGATTTTAGTTGTTGTCCTTGGCTAACAGGTTAGAGAAATGACCAAACTACGGGATTGAAGTGAACAATTCCATTAATTTTCCCGCTCAAACATATGATATCTTGTCAAGCAATATTAAGTTGTGTACATTTTCATGGGAAATCAGTCAAAGGACACTATCTCCCCCCAACCCAAAAATACCTCTTACCAAGTTACTTAAACATACCTTTATCTCAAAATACTTCGCTGAAGAAAAAGGTTTCCAAATGTTGGGTGGTAATGGACCCCTCTAGACCCCATGTTGATCTGCCCATGTTGTCCTCACAACAGGGGCGGAGCCACGAAGGGCTTACAAGAGGCATTCTCTCCAATATTTGCCGAAGCCTAAAAATTTTGAGGTAAGGTTTTGTTTAAATCATCTTGATAACATGCCAACATACACTACCAAATATAAGCGACAAGAATAAAATCTCTCCATAATATGTGGCACAGAATAGACCTTTTTCAACTAACCCTTTTTTTGTAGTGAACCAAGAAATTCAACACAATGTCCTGCACAAAGTCCACAAACACTCAGACTCAATGTTTATATTAGTTTTAGATGATGTTGATTTGATATTTTAAAACATTTGAACACTAACCTAATGCCTTTGATCAGCTCATATTGCCTAAACTTTTTCCTTCCATATTGAAATTATCATCTTTACTTAAAAGAACCACAACTTTTTCACACAAGTGAACAACAACCACCCTTCTTCCCCCTCCCCTCAAACCCCCAAAAAATGAAAAGAAAAGAATGAAAACAAGTAAATTGCAGAACGACTTTCTAAGAGTTGTTTGCTTGATACAGTGTCATTACATTCTTCAAGTTGTTGGATTAAATGATTTTGTGGATTGGATTTCACTTCACTCCCTGCCTATGACTCTATTGCGCGTGCTCAAGGAGTAGAAATTTTGTATAAATGTATCACCAAACCATTAAGTATTTTGACTTAAATTTTCAACTCTTTCAAAATGGAGTCTACACCAAACACATATGTCATGGTTCCTTACCTCAATTGGGTACAGCTATTTAAATTTGATATTTTTAGATACTTTTTCCAGACCTATTGTTGATAACAAGTAGTACAAGTCAAAATTGGATTCTAACGGAATTCCAGTCTATACTAGCACCATATATTAGATTGGGGACAAAAATTAGGATTAGAGACATAAAAAAGCAAGGATATGAGCTTGTTTAAGCAGAAAACATTTAATATCAATTCTAGTTATATGATCATCTATCGACCTTTTTACTTGGGATTAGCCAATTCTATTTCTCAATGGAGCTAAAAAAGGGATATAACTTAGTGATAGAGCATCACCATGAAGTGGTGGAAGTTATTAGTTTGAACCTGAGTATCCTTAAACCAAACTCTAACTACCCTATCCAGATCAGATAACAAATCAATGGGGTGTCATTTTCTTTTGCTCATCTCTTGCTCTTGATTGTCCTCCCCCTCATTACTACAACTTTAAAGTTGAGACACCCAAAGACATACAAATATCCACAAATATTCATGCATATACCTCTACACAGTAAACACGTGGGGGGAAAAAAACCAAGTTCACCTATGCTAGATAGACTTCGTAAGATTGCAGTGAAGTCCCACGGCACATAGAAGGGCTACCATTTAAAAGTGATACAGTCTATTTTTGTTTAATTATGCATTTGGTGATGAGGTGGGGTGGCAAACCTTATATTCTATTATTTCTCCATTTTCCATTAGCATGTCACTTTACTAATTCCCCATGTCAAAGTAATTCACCTAAGCAAGATTCCAATGTTTGCGAGCCTCATGACCTCTCCAGCCCCTACTGAGATTTGGACCTAGAGGCAGAGCAAAGAGAGGGCTTGAATAAGCATGTCTCACCCAAACTTTCGTAGTTTCAGAAAAAATTGAGATAAGTGCTCAGTAAATTCCCATAATTTTTACATTCACCGTGGCACAGTTTATCTCCAATATCTTACAAAGTAATTTTAACATACCAAGTCAATGTACTTCACCTAGATAAGATTTTAAAGTATGTGGGCCTCCTAGCCCCCAACACCCCAATCAGAGGACAACAATGGAATCCTCATCCCCCCCTCCCCCCAAAAAAAAAACCCAACAAAAAAAAAATCAAATTCCTTTGACTTAAATCACATAATAACATTTGAGTTCTAATGGACAAACCAAACTTGATAAAGATGCAGATAAACCAACCTCCAAAAGTGCCTTAAACATATCACCACATAATATCATTTTTATCATGCCATTCAGCGCCATCTAAGGCCTCATCCTTCGTCAATGCAAAAAAAATAAAAGAAATTTTCATTGCTTTTCTCACTGCTCGACCCAATATTTCATTTAGCCTCACTCATACCCTTTATTGCTCTCACCCTTCTAAATCAAACAATCAATGCACACACAAATACACACACATGCAGGCATACATTGATGATTCATGTACTTGCACGAACTAAACACAAGCTAGAAGAAACAAATAGTGCAGCTGTTTAACTATACTTGGTTTGGTTTCAATGGTTTTCACTTTTATTACATAAATTGCAAAATAATTTTAAGGAAAAGCATGGATCCAAAAGCAAACAAAAGGCAAAAACAATCACAAGCAGAACACAACGCAAAACAAGACCAAGAACGAATCATACTAAGTACCTCGTGAAACTGCGCTCAGATGATATCAAATGATATCGTTTCGGCTGGAGTGCTTGGTTTGCGAAGCAAAAGAAAAGAGTGAGTGTTCGGCGGCCACGTCTTTTATTAGTTTTCCATGACTTTTGATGAAAAATATATTGAAAATTAGCAAAAATGTCACGTTAATCTTAAATATAAAATAAATGAATAAATAAATTACAGAATTTATATATTTTTTAAACTATCTATTTTGTAAATAAATCAATTTAATACAATGTAAATAAAAAATAAAAATATAAGACATAGTTGGTTTATATAGTGGTTATATATTGAAGAGTCCAAAATTAACTAAGTCATACCTCAAGAAAATAAATCAAAAAAGAGTTTAATATCAACCTATATAGAGGGAAGCCAAAGTTAAGGAGAAGGCCAAATAAGACACTCTCAAGGGGCTACCCCAAAGGGGGTGCCCAAGGGGGTCTACCCCAAGGGGATCTTTCCCTCCTTTATCCATTGCTCCCTCT